AGGTTGAGGTCCACTGTGGGGACTCCAGCGCATTTCCTTACTATGCGGATTGTGGGGCGTTTAGAGATTGCCACGACGAGCAAAATATCATGGCTGGGAAGGCTGCCAATTGACGGACCTAGCGCAGTCCGCGCTCCAATGTTCTCCGCCAAGATGTCTAACCGCCCTTCTATCCGCCTCACGCTGCCTGGCGATTAGTTGCTGAGACCGCGCGAGGCTGTTTACTAGCCTAAGGTGTGCCTTGTTCTGATTGACTGGTGGACGTTACGTGGGACGGAGCGTAGGGTTGACACACGCACTGGCACTAATGACCTCGCACGGTGGACACAGACGCAAAAAAGTGCCTGAAGGTTCAGCTTGAGGCGAGTGCTTGCAGAGCCTCATATGCGGTCTTACACGTCAATACTGGTTGTCCAACCCAAACCGTCCTCCATGACCTCTGAGTTGGGAATGCTCATTTTGTCGACCACAAAACAACCGAGGAGATAACTCGATCCTACTCTCAGTACAAAAAGTCAGATTGCAGTGGTTCTTTCTTACTCTGACCTGTGTGGCATTCTCTCTCAGATTGGGTCCGAGCAGCCCTCCCCCCTCATTTCTCTTGAAACCCGATCTAACTGGCCTGCATGGAGGATGATTACGTGCTACAGTTTCGAATAAGAGCTTTTGCAGTGGGTCCCGACACATGGACGATTGGTCATTGACTGAAATATTCTTGAAAATACTAAAGTTGCCATTACCAGTTCATATTCCATGGGCAGCATAAACAAACACCTCCTTTATGATAAACCTACTTGAACCATCCGGGGAACATAATGTATTGAAAGCAAAATAAATATGATGAAGCAGTTGCGGTCGCTGGGACAAGAGATTTCTTAGCCTGATGTTTCGGATTGCTGCACGAACCCATCTTTGGAGACAAAAGCAGATACGGGTGGTTCAGGCATAAGGGGCTGCAGTATTTATAGAAAGTGGAATGTGTGGCTGGATCTCGTCGAATGAGCCTCATCTTGAGAGCTGACGTCATTCCACCCCACCGCTGCGGCATGTTCGGCCATACGCGGTCGGAGATGTTTTGCAGTTCATCCGAAGTATTTGCTTTGTCTGCAACTGCACCAGATGCGATGAACGACTGCAGACGTTTCTAGCCGTGGAAGTTGGTCATTCGGTTCTATTACCAGACATCTTATGGTTGCCTCCGGTCTATGTGCGACTGCAAACCCAGGTGGTGCCGGAGGGGGACCGACAGTTTCCGAATCATTCTTGACCTACAGATGCGCTCGCCAAAATTTAGAGCCCATGCGGTTTGGACTTCCGTCCCTTTCAAGCATTGACCTTTTGCGATGTTGCGCGGGTAGCCATTGGCTTTGAAGACCCGTCGGAGGTATAGTAGTTCGGCAATCTTGTCTTCAGGCTCACTGAAGTGCGTTTGGACACGCCGATAGAGCGAAGGTATCATCCACATACTGTGCCCAGACTTCAGTCTGTGGTGTTTGGAGTCCAGCGACTCCAACCGTTGAAGTGATCATTTTTATTTTGCGGCTTTCGATAGCCGACCACGGAAGAACATCGCGCATATACATGAGTCGGGGGACGTTGTGGAGTGGCAAGTCTGCATTCGTGAATGCCATTGAGTTATCTAGTTAAATAAACTTGGCAAATTTAAAAAGTTGCAGACTGCAACTTATTCGCCCAGATTTTGCAAATTGAGCATATTAGCATAAAATGCAGGAAAGGCCTGAAGGACCGTTGCTGGGCTACTCGCTGCCATCGGGTCAACCACGTCGCAGCACCACCTGCCCGATTATCCCCGACTTGATCTCTGTTCTGTGTGGATTGCTGATGATTTAAATCAGGGCATCTGCCAACTTAAGGTATCGATCTCACAAACACCCCTGACTTTCACTGCCTACATACAAACTCATTTATACATGCGAAGTTTTTAAATGCTTTCACAGTTAACATTTTTTCTGTGAACATATTACCCCCATCATATTTTGTCACCGTTTGCCGTCATCCGTGCTTATACCATTGATATAAGTTTTTGGTCTTCGCATCTCTTAGGTAGCCACATTCTGTAGGACTGCGTGGCTGCAGCACGCCTATAGGTCAGTTCGATCGTCGCGAATGATGAAAGCTACAAACTGCTCCACAGCATAGAGGACGTCGGATGGTTGCCTGCGCGTGAATTAACTCATGGTGAAGACAGACTTGCACATGGCCCGTCGCACTCCATTCTCCTCGGACCAGTAACGTGATTAAGACAAGAAGACAGGCGGCGTTGTCTAACGCAGTTTTCGCCAAGGCTAAACAGCCCCTCCACACCTGCCAGGCACTCCTGGATTGCACACGTTAGATCGGGTTTCAAGAGAAATGAGGGGGGGGGGCTGCTCGACCCTATCTGAGAGATAATGCCGCATAGGTCACAGTAAGAAAGAACCACTGCAATCTGACTCTCTGTACTGAGAGGAGGATCGAGTTATCTCCTCGGTTGTTTTGTGGTCGACAACATGCGCATCCCCAACTCAGGAGTCAGGGAGGACGAATTGGATTGGACAAGCTGCACTGACGTGTAAGACCTCAAGCTGACTCCCCTGGCACGTTTTTGCGTCTGCGTCCGCCGTGGAGATCATTGGACCCAGCGCGTGTATCCGCCCTTCGCCCCGTCCCAGATAACGCCCACCAGCAAACCAGAACAAGGCACACCTAAGGCTAGTAAACAGCCTCGCGCGGCCTCAGCAAATAATCGCCAGGGAGCGTGAGGCGGATAGAAGGGCAGTTAGACAAATTGGCGGAGAACAATGGAGCGCGGACTGCACTAGGTCCGTCAATTGGCTGCCTTCCCAGCCATGATATTTTGCTCGTCGTGGCAATCTCTAAACGCCCCACAATCCGCATAGCGAGGAAATGCGCTGGAACCTCGTTTCCTTCTTCCATGCACCAGTCCGCTCTCCGAGCCGGTTGGCCAGCTGATGCTGGGACTAGGCTGAATTGACTGCCCCAACGTGAACCTCTACCTAGGTCTACCAAAACATCCCATATGTCTTGTGGTGACAATATTTGGGGTCAGTGAGGACAGTATGTGGCAGCGGATATGGGGGATAAGGGAATGAAGGGGGCGAAGGAATAGAGGGTCGGGGAAGTGGAGCAGGATGTAGGGACCACAGAGGTCAGTCGTATGAGTGTCCGTAACAGCGGTCTTGACACTGTTCAATTTCACGGCCTCCTCGCGAGTTCCGCATTGGATTCGGTAGGTCTTCATCCCACGAGATGCAACCCAGAATGGGTCGTCGTGCCTTGGTTTCAAGGATTGGCGGACTTGATCACATCGAAGGTAGACGTGAGAGCGCGTCACCAAGTCTTCCTTGAAACAAGATTTATAGAGGGATAACCTAGGTGGAATCGGAGGAAGTGTCTGCATCAATTGTCAGAAACGGTGCATGAGGTTGGCAGGATCCTCGATCACACCCTGAGGGATTGATGATGTTCTTTCAGCGGACAGAGGGACGGTGACGCCGAAAACCAATTTATCGGCAGAGCAATTAAGTGCCGACCTGAGAGAGTAGCGGATGCCCAACGGGGCATATAAGAGACTGGAACAGATGAGATTAGAGTTGGGCATCGCGGTCGGTCTTGATAGCTTAGGGGTCACCAGGGATCGCATCCCAGCGACTGAGGAAAGCCTTAACGACCGTTGGGACATTGACATCGGCAGAGTGATAGCTTCAGGCCACCGGGTATATCAATGCTCAGAGGTGAGGAGGTAGGGACTGCCACTGGATCGAGGCAGGTGCATACAATGTTCAGATGGACGTGACTGAACCGTGCATATGGAGTGGAGAAGGTGCCGATGGGTGTTCTAAAGTCGCAAGGCGGGCATTGTCAGTCATGAGCGCGATACACAGAGCATTTTTTCTCTTGGATACAGATGTCTTTGGCAGGGTATATGGGACGTTTGTGCGGCTGCGGTACAGGCTTGGCGAGCATGGCTTCGAAAGGATATTAATATCCTCGAATGTGTACAACTGCTTGCTACAAAGGCTGTTCATTGCCTCAAAAATTTTTTGTACGAGCAGCGCCTGGCGGTTATCAACGTCTATCCCATCCACTACAGACAGAACAGAGATGCCCTGATAGCAACCTTTCAACTGCTATAAGGACTCAATCTGGACGTCAATTGGGACACGTTTTTCGAAATGGCACCCAAGTGTAATCTCAGATGAAAAGATTACCAGGTAAAAAAGGAACTGTGCTGCACAAATCAACGTTCCTCTTTTGTCTCGCAGGGGGTCATTCGCCAATGGAACTCTTCGCCGACGTATGTTGGTGACGACGAACACAAATTCATCGGTGGAGCAATTAAGGTCCGACCTGAGAGAGGAGCGGATGCCCAACAGGGCTAGGGGGAGGTGGTCCGTTCTGTTCTCCGGATCGTCTGTAGCGCTTAGGGAGGTCTCCAACTGACGGTGATGCCGTCCAACCATCCCCATGGTTGACGGATGATTGTCTGTAGTGCAGATTCGAGTAAGGCATAAAAAGCAGATAAGAGACTGGAATAGATGAGATTCGAATTGGGCATGACGGTCAGTCTTGATAGTATAGGGGGCACCAAGAATGGCATCCCAACGACTGAGGAAAGCCTTAACAACGGTTGGGGCAGCGACCTCGGCAGAGTGATAGCTTCCGGTCACCGGGTATACCAGTGCACAGAGGTGATGAGATAGGAACTGCCCCTGGACCGAAGCAGGTGTATAGGATGTTTAGCTAGACGTGAATGAACCGTGCAAACGGAGTGGAGAAGGTGCCGATGGGAGCTTTGATGTGCCGTTTAACTTTACTCCGTTGATAGCCAAGACATGCCCTTCTCCGTGATTTTAGTCTATGCCAGGCCAGACGAAGCGATCAGAAACAAACTTGTCGTTGTCTCGACTTCTGGGTTGGAGAAGATTGTGCAGGGAGGAATAGGCTTTATAGCGTAGAGATGGAGGCAGTAAGAGACGCTAAGTGGTGCAGGAGACATCGCTGAGAATAGTGTCCTTGTCAGTAATCAGTAGCAGTTTCTGCGGTTGGAGTCCGGAAACATCCTCGTCAAAGGGAGAGCCAACACGGTGATGTTCGGTAACCATGTCAGTAAATTCGATCCCAGGTGAAAGTTGGATATGTGCGAAGGAGGGTCTGGACAGTGCCTCAGACGCCTCATTGCGTGACCCGCGGACGTGGCGGTATAGCCCAGTTGGCGAATTTTCCGAAGGTTGCGCCTGCCGGAAGTGGACTTCAGGGCGAAAGAAGGTGGCTAGTAATTCGAGGAGACAGTCTACATCACTCTCACATCCCGCCCTCATGCACCAATCCGCCGGTCGCCCAGCTGATGCTGTGTGAGTGAAAGTAGCTGATGCGGCTGATGAATCTGCGGCTAGACCTCACGTGCGACATGTGTTAGGGGGTGCGTGGCCTCTGGGCATCCCAGAAAACGCATCCCCTGTCCCCTGTTTTAATCAAGCGTATATCTCTTGTGGTCCGTTTTAGGGCCAATAAACTTTATCAACCCTCACTCTCCAATCCACAAACCACCTAAGAGCGGCTTTCCAAATGAAGATACATATACTAGATATAGGCTTTAACTGTCATTGCTCTTCTTTTCCCGCAATCAACTACATTCCTTTTCTTTGCATCCGTGCATCACGTAAAACCCAAACTTTTGACCACCATTGCTTTCCCATGTCGCACCCGCACCCCTTGCATCCGCTTGACGTGTTTCTCGTCTTCCGTAATATAGCTTTGGTATGTCCTCATATGCGCGTTTCTAAGGGTAACATGCCTACCTAAACAAATTTCGTAGGTGTTCTCTCGTTATCAACACGGGTACTTGCACAGTTGCTCCTCGTCAAAATTTTAAACCTAAACTTAACGAAATGTCAGATTCAGCTTTGGATCAAAACCACGTTCAGGAATTTTTTAAAGGGTAGCTGATGGGCGTAATATGTCATGTGCTCCGCCGTGTACCAATTAACCGTTTTATCAAGACAGAACCATTTTGCCAAGAACAAGTGTTTTTCACAATTGCACTATATTTGCCGTATAGTCCTCCACTTCATATCGGCCTGAAGTAAAATAATACAACAACTGCTGGACCGAGTGGTAAAAGAAAACAAAAGTACGTCAGTTTAAAATGATTCTGCTATTCCACATTCGACAACACCGAAGAAAAACACGATTTGCGACCCGGTTGCAGCAATTATATTGTCACTCCTAGGTAGGACAGTTTGAGGATAAAAAAGAGAGGAAGAGGATTGGAATGCAGAGAGGAGATGAATGGGGAGGAAAGGGAGGAGGAGGAGGAGGGGAAGAAGAAGAAGAAGAAGAAGAAGAAGAATGAAAAGGAGACGGGGGGATAGGAACGATGGAGCACTGTGTCGGAATTTTCCATCGGTCTGCGTGGTCCTTCCTCAGTGGTGGGGCCGTGACACTATAATTTCGGGACTCCTGACAGCAATGGACTCGGGTGTAGGGGTTAAATCAATCACGTGTCAGTTTTATAAGTAATGCAGAATAGTACAGCAAATCGATCGAATATATTTTAGTCAAGTCTTTCCCTCACTCTACCCAACTCTAAGCCTTCGAATCAAGTGAATCGTGGACTCGTTTGGTATATTGTAGTCCATCAATGTGCTTCCATTTTGACGCCGATCTGACGGTTATAAACACGGCTCGTTTTCCGCGGCGCAGCGGTTAAAGGCGCTGAACTTCTAACCAACAGGTCGCGGGGTCAATCCCCAGGTGTTCCGCACTTCGGGGTTGGGTATGGCTGGCTGACAACGGCCAATGAGCCAGAAACGGCCATTCCAGTCTACCATGACTTTTTCGGTAATGCCGTTCTGGCTTTATCATGCGAAGCTGTGCGGCTGCTGGCTAGACTCGAGAGAGAGAGAGAAAGAGAACCGTAAGTCAAGTCGGGACGAGTGAGTTACGTAACACGATTAATGAGCGTCCACCCCCACAATTGATTGACATATTCATTCGTGACATGCTTCGTCGTTTTTATCCCTATTCAGATAAATTCCTGCAGACAATGTTTCAAAAATAGCTTCATTAGTAATTCATGTGAGAGCGGAATTGACGGAGTGTTCGAAAGGCATATTTAGTGCAGCATTTCTGCATATGTTTCATATACTACTTTGACGACGTGCCGTAAGAGATGGCCGATGTTTCAAACAGCATGGGTCATGGGCTCATCGGTGTGTTTCGCCGCGTGTAGTAACTGCCAAAAGATGGTCTCAAAGAAATTTGTTTTCAAAGTATACACTTTTAAGTAGGCATGATATGTTACCTGCCTAGCACGAAACAGTTTTTTACATTTTTTAAAAAATAAGACGTATATCAATGCGTGCTGACATCCAAAATCTATAGGAAAAATTCGTATGAATAAAAGAGATCATTCATAGATGTTTTGGAATATTTTGAATAAAAGAGATTGACCCAACCGTAAAAAAACTCAACGCCTTTGTGGAATTCGAACCCACGCAGTAATGGGAAGGCTTAGTACACCCAACGGTCTAATCAATTGAACTACATGGGTTCGAGTCCGACGAGACGCCGAGGTTTCACAGTTGGGTCAATATGAATATGTTTAGTTGTGGGTTAAGCCTTCGTTCAAAATTTAATATAAAGATTACTGGTGGGCGTTGCATGTCGTCCGAGTTGCTATATCCTTTTTTACAGGAATTAAATACGAGCATGTTCTGTAAGCCGATGAGTAATCGCACATCCAGCACTATTATGCACTTAATCTGCACGTCTGTTCGACCCATGACGAATGACGACAGTAGACGCATGTTTCAATACAGAAGATTTCTTGTTTCCTGAGATATTAATCGAAATTCTGAGATGTAACTTTGATCCAAAAATAATACTAACGTAGTTCGTAAGGCTTTTTACCATGCAGTCTACTCACAAGATATTTCGGTCTCCTCATTGTGTGTGCTTTTGAACGAACTTTCTGCCGACGCTTGCAAAAACTACACTCTGTAATAAATGAGGGCTTATTTTATATGAATACTTTCTATTCACTCTAGATGTCACTATATATTGGAATACAGTTAAACGATAAAAAGAGAGAAGAAGAGGATGAGGAATGGGAGGGAGAGGAGGAGAAGGAGAGGTGGGGAGAGGAAGGATGTTGAGCTGTGTCTGAATTTGCCATCTGCATACTTGGTCCTTCCTCAGTGGTGGGGCTGTGACACTATAATTTCGGGACTCCTGAGAGCAATGAATTTATTTTGTGGACTCGAGTATATCGGTGAAATCAATCACGTGCCATTCTTATAAGTGATGCAGAAGAGTACAGCAACTCGATCGAATATATTTTAGTCAAGTCTTTCCCTCAGTCTACCCACCTCTAAGCATTTGAACCAAGTGAATCGTGGAATCTCTTTGTATATTGTAGTCCATCAATGTGCGTCCGTTTTCCAACTGCTTGCTGTCAAAAATTAAGCGCTGAACATCAGGTGGAATGCCTTCCTTATCTTGTATAATACACTTCACATTTTCCACCGAATACGACGGATCGACTTTGAGCTCAAAAAATCTTCCATCTAAGCACCTGACAAATATTTTGAAAGCATTCAAATTTTCTTCAGAATCCGACGACACGTAAGGCAAAATTGTGAGGACGGATTCGTACTTCAGTCCACATGACGCCAAAGTTTGTCTTCCTCTCAAGAGCCGCCCATCCAGAACCAACTCATAACTTTGCGCACTCAATCGACACAGACGCCACAGCTGTTCCTTCAGACCGTCCACGGTGTCCTTCTCATTTACCCAAAGCCTCACCACACGTCCAGATGGCAGAGTTACGCTCACGTTAATTTCCTTCGAAAAGTCCAACGGAAGACTGAGGAATAAAGACGATCCATTCTTAACGCCGTAGTCTTTCAACTGGTGCGAATCTTCAAGAATTAGTCCATCGAACGTCAGGGTTTGTTTCTCCACTGGGATTCGTTTTTTGTCCTGAATCTTCCTCTTAATGATCGAGACTGATTCCGAATCCGACACATGCAGTCTGAAATTGCCAACGCGTTTGCATCGGATGTGCAACGTCCACGACATTTTTTTCGCGAATGAGTTTCGCGCCGTCTTAGGCGATGGTGGTCAATTTAGACAACCAATCGGAGCACGGGTCTGTCTTCACCTCTCGCTGAACGATGAGCCTGCCAATGTCTCGACGATCGTTTCATCTTTCTCTGAGTGTGTCTCACTGGTGGGTTGCAGAGCCTTAATGCTACTTCGCGGCACCGTTTCGCCTGAGTGAACACCGAGCTTCGAATATGTGTCGTTAGGTGATCCACCCTTCTACTCTCCGTGAACACTTAACCTGAAATGTGTGCCGTTAGGTGAATCCTCTCCTTCTACTCTCTGTCGATCTTGCAGTTATAGACAATTGAATGCGCAGTCACTACAGTACGGTGTAATACTTACCCATCTGCAGGTCCGTTTATCGCCATGCTTATATTTCTGAAGATGTGACTTGACCCGTTGTCACAATTGAACCGCCATTTCGTAGCAACACTTCTTTCTTAGTATTCATTCAGATGCATCCTGTCTATAGTGATTTAAGTGCCCTTTCTGTGACACATTCCATTGTCTCTCCCACGTTCGAAATTATTCGCGATAAACAGTGCTTCAGTAGTACATTTGGTAGCAAGTCAGATAAACGAGCCAATTAAGGCAGTCTGCGGTAGTAAGTGAAAGTACTTAACTTTCGGGCATATGTTTGTTTTATTACTCCACTGAAGTTCCGGAATAGGTACCCAGTTTCAATTAGAGGACGCGTGAAGAGGTAAAAATAGTTAATCTGCGGTTAGCGGTCAATGATGGTTGGATTGGTTAAGACGGTATGCAGCAGACAATCTTGCCCATTACCCCAACTCCTACCTTAGCCTTAACATGAAACTTACTCCTGATGATACCCTAAAAGCCAAATCATAAATCACCATTTTAGACCTCGCCGCAAAATCCGAACGCCAACCCCGAAATCCTAGTTGTAACTGCCAACTCCCGAACACGAAAAACATGAGTGCAACATGCCTGTCTAGACCGAATAAATGGATATGCCGTCGTAATAAACACGTGCGCTTACTCATTTCATTCGCAACATAGCATTAAACCTAACCATAACTTTGACTCTAAACCTATCCTTAGAAACTTAATCTCCAACCCACACAAAAACACCAATTTCAAACTTGATCATTAACATTGGGGTTAAATTAGCGTTTACTGTAATTTTATTGGAAGGCTGAGTGTGAGGCAAGGTGAATGGGTCAGTTTTAGCGTTTATATTCCCACC